CCCCAATGTCCCCAAACCCGCAGTGCCACCTGCTACCCCCAGCCGCCCTCCCAGTGTCCCCAGCCTCTCCTGCACCCCGCAGTGCCCCAGCCCCTGGGCACCGTGCCCCCATTCCTGGCAGCCCCCCCAATGCCCGCAGGGTCCCCGGGCGCCATGTGCCCCTGCAGCCTGGGCACCTGGGTGCGTGCCCAGGGTGACACCTACCAGGTGGTGGCCGACGTCAGCCAGTTCGAGCCCCCCGACATCGTGGTGACCACCTCCAACTGCCATGTCGCCATCCAGGCCGAGAAGGTGAGGTACCATTCCACCCTCCCCAGCCATGGAGCACTGGGGGCACCCACTTCTGCAGGGGGGTAACTGGGAATGTCCCCTGCTGGCACTGGGGTAACTGGGAGCTGTCTCCCAGTGATGGGACAGGTAGCCTCTGCTCCACTGCACCTTTCCTGCACTGGGATAACTGGGAACTGCCCCTGCTGGCACTGGGGTAACTGAGAATGGCCTCTGCCGGCACTGGGGTAACAGGGAACTGTCCTCGCTGAGAATGGGGCAACTGGGAACTCCTGCCCCATTGCATTTTCTGCTGGTGGGGGGTGGGGGGCAATTGGGAACAGTCCCTGCTGACACTGGGGTAACTGGAAATTACCCCCAGGACTGAGACAACTAGGAGCTGCTCTCTGCTGGCAATGGGGTAGCTGCCACTGAGGCACTGGGTAACTGGGAACTGTCCTGTTGAGCTCCCTGCTGGAGCTGGGGTGACTGGGAGCTGCCCCATCACTAGCACTGGGGTAACTGGGACTGTGCCATGTGCTGCTGTGCCGTGCCATGCCATGCCATGCCCCACCACGCTGGCGCTGCCTCCCCACAGGTGGCCGAGGACGGCACCGTCTGCGACACCTTCACCCACAAGTGCCAGCTGCCCGAGGACACGGACCCGCTGTCGGTGAGCTGCGCCCTCACTGAGGCTGGCACGCTGGTCATCACCGCCCGGCGCCGTGCCAGCACCTGCCCCGGTGAGCCCCCGCAGCCGCTGTACCGCAGCGAGGCCACGCTGTGAACCGGCACCGGGTAAAGAAAGGCTTCTCGCCTCAAGCGATGCCAACCCCGGTGCTGTGGCGAGGCTCAGCTGATGCCCGCTGGCTGTGCCCCCTCCTGCCTCCGGCCCCTCAGGACTCTGGCTCTGTTTATAAAGTCCTTTTATTAAATTAATATAAAAATCTCTGTATTTACACGGGGGTGGGGTGCACAGTGGAGAAGTGGCAGGGGACCCCCTTCCCGCCCCGAGGGCGCGGG